TTCAGCAATTTATTCTGTTTAATTTCAACTTATTCTTTTATTAATTTCAGATATGTTTAATATGTTTTGTGAAAATTGTGATTCTATTCCTGAAAAAGTGTTTTCATCCATTGATCTAGCCAGACAGAAGTCACATACATCAACAGAGATGCTAGATGGCTAAGGGCACGTTTCCCAAAGGTTAACAATGCTTATTTACGAGGGAAGAGCTATTCAAGAAATTTTACATTTTCTTCATTATACTTCACTTTATTGTGTAAATTTTAAAAATAAACATAAATTAATTTCCCAGACTCTTTCATTCAGCCAGATTAACTAACTAATAGAGGTTCAAAGGGTTATCATTCCTTTTTATACCAGGATCAAAGACTTTGCTAAGGAGCTGTGGCATCAGAATGGTATTTTTACAGGCAGGTGGAAAAATATTTTGGAGTAGTATCAGGAAGTTGTCACGTAATCCAGCTCTCATGTCTTTGTCCATGCAGGTTATTTTCTTAGTGAGGGAGAAGAAATAAAGAATTGACTAAAAAAGTAAAAACAAAGGACAAATAACTGATTTGGGTTAATTCAAAGTCAAATCTGCACAGCTGCGTTGAATGTATTACAAAGCATTACAGATAAAATTTACATCAAATCACTGTTTAGAATTAGGACAATGCTGAATAATGTTTGTTGTTGTTAAGTGCTGTCAAGCCGGTTCAGGCTCATAGTGACCCCACATACAACAGAACAAAACACAGTCTGCCCGGTCCTGCACCACCTTCACAATCATTGCTATGTTTGAGCCCATTGTTGCAGCCACTGTGTCAATCCATCTGGTTAGGAGTCTTGCTTACTTTTGCTGACACTCTACTTTACCAAGCCAGATGTCCTTCTCCAAGGACTGGTACCTCCTGATAATATGCCCAAAATATGTGAGACAAAGTATTACCATCCTTGCTTCTAAGGAGCATTTTGGCTACAATCCTTCCAAGACAGATTTGTTTGTTCTTCTGGCAGTCCACAGTATATTCAATATTCTTTGCCAACACGATAATACAAAGGCATCAATCCTTCACCAGTCCCCTTCTTCACTGTCCAGCTTTCATGTGCATATGAGGAGACTGAATATACCATGGCTAGGGACAGGCGCACCTTACTCCTCAAAGTGATATCTTTGCTTTTTAACACTTTAAAGAGGTCTTTTGCAGCAGATTTGCCCAAGGCAATATGTCATTTGATTTCTTGACTTCTGTTTCCATGGACATTGATTGTGGATCCAAGTAAAACGAAAATTCTTGAGAAGTTCAATATTTTCTTTGTTTACCATGCTTATTGGTCCAGTTGTGAGGATTTCTGTTTTCTTTCTGTTGAGGTGTAATCCATATTGAAGGCTGTAGTCTCTGATCATCACTAGTAAGTGCTTCAAGTCATCTTCACTTTCAGCAAGCAAGGCTGTGTCATCTACATATTGCAGGCTGTTAATGAGTCTTCCTCCAATCCTGATACCATGTTCTTCTTCATATAGTCCAGCTTCTTGGATTATTTGCTCAGCATACAGATTGAATAAGTATGGTGAAAGGAGATAACCCTGATGCACACCTTTACTGACTTTAAACCATGCAGTATCCCCTTGTTCTGTTTGAACAACTGTCTTTTGGTCTATGTACAGGTTCCTCACAAACAAAATTAAGTGTTCTGGGATTCCCATTCTTCACAATGTTATCCATAATTTCTTATGATCCGCACAGTCAAATGCCTTTGCATACTCAATAACACGCAAGTAAGCATCTTTCTGGTATTCTCTGCTTTCATCCAAGATCCATCTGACATCAGCAATGATATCCCTCTTTCCACTTCCTCTTCTGAATCTGGCTTGTATTTCCGGTAGTTCCCTGTCGATGTACTGTTGCAACCCCTTCTGAATTACCTTCAGCAAAATTTTACTTGCATGTGGTATTATTCTATAGTTTGTGTATTCTGTTGGATCATCTTTCTTTGGAATGGGCACAAATATGGATCTCGCCTAGTCGATTGTTCAGGTAGCTGTCTTCCAAATTTGTTAGCACAGATGAGTGAGCACCTCTAGTGCTGCATCTATTTGTTGAAACATCTCAACTGGTTTTCTGTCAATTCCTGGAGCCCTGTTTTTCACCAATGCCTTCAGTGAAGCTTGGACTTCTTCTATCAATACCATCGATTCTTGATCATATGCTATCTCCTGAAATGACTGAACATCGACCAATTCTTTTTGGAACAGTGACTCTGTATATTCCTTTCATCTCCTTTTATGCTTTCTGCATTGTTCAATGTTTTGCCCATGTTGTTGTTGTTGTTAGGTGCCATCCAGTTGGTCCTGACTTACAGCAGCAACCCCATGTACAACAGAACAAAACACTGCCCGGTCCTGAGCCATTCTCATGACTGTTGTTATGCTGGAGCCCACTGTTGCAGCCACCTTGTCAATCCATCTCGTTGAGAGTCCTCCTCTTTTTTGCTGACCCTCTACTTTACCAAGCATGATGTCCTTCTCCAGGGACTGATCCCTCCTGATAACATGTCCAAAGTGACGTAGTCTCACCTTCCTTGTTTCTAAGGAGCATTCTGGCTGTACTTCTTCCAAGACAGACTGGTTCATTCTTTTGGCAGTCCATGGTATATTCAATATTTTTTGCCAACAGTGTAATTCAAAGGCATCAATTCTTTTTCGGTCTTACTTACCCATTGTCCAGCTTTCGCCAAAGATGAAGAAATTGAAGATTTTTACCAACTTCTGCAGTCGGAAATTGATCAAACAAGCAATCAGCATGCACTGATAATTTCTGGTGATTGGAGTGTGAAAGTTGAACGAGAAAAGTTGAAGAAGAAGGATCGGTATTTGGAAAATAGAGCCTTGGTGATAGAAACGATGCTGGAGCTCGCATGATACAATTTTGCAAGACCAATGACTTCTTCATTGCAAATACCTTTTTTTAACAACATAAATGGTGACTATACACCACGTGGACCTTGCCAGATGGAATACATAGGAATCATATCAACTATATCTGTGGAGAGACAATGCAAAAGCTCAATATCATCAGTCAGAACAAGGCCAGAGGCTGCCTATGGAACAGACCATTAATTGCTCATATGCAAGCTTATGCTGAAGCTTAAGAAAATTAGAACAAGTTCATGACAGCCAAAGTACAACCTTGAGTATATCCCACCTGAATTTAGAGACCATCTCAGGAACAGATTTGACACATTGAACGCTAATGATCAAAAATCAGACAAGTTGTGGTATTTTGCTCATAAAATCCTTCAATATTGCAACTCAAGGCTTGAATTTTTTCTTCAGTTCTTTCAGCTTGAGAAATGCCAAATGCTTTTGATTTTCTAACTCCAGATCTTTGCTCATTTCATTATAACACTTACTTTGTCTTCTCGAGCCTCCCTTCAAAATCTTCTGGTTAGCTCTTTTACTTTATCATTCCTTCCAGTCGCTTTAGCTACTGTATGTTCAAGATCAAGTTTCATAGTCTCTTTGGACATCCATTTTGGTCTTTTCTTTCTTTCCTATCTTTTTAATGACCTTTTGCTTTCTTTAAGGATAACGTCCTTAATGTCATACCACAACTCATCTGGTCTTCGGTCATTAATGTTCAAGGCATCAAATCTATTCTTGAGACAGTCTCTAAATTCAGGTAGTATATACTCAAGGTCATATTTTGGCTCTTGTAAACTTGCTTTAATTTTCTTCAGCTTCAACTTGAAACTTTCATATGAGCAACTGATGGTCTGCTCTGCAGACAGCCCTTGGCCTTGTTCTGAGTGATGATACTGAGCTTCTCCATCATCTCTTTCCACAAATACAGTCAGTTTGATTCGATCCAGCGTGGTCCATGTGTGTAGTCACCATTTATGTTGTTGAAAAAGGTTATTTGCAGTGAATAAGTTGTTGGTCTTACAAAATTCTATCATGCAATCTCCGATGTCATTTCTATCACCAAGGCCATATTTTCCAACTCTCAATCCTTCTTTTTTTTCCAACTTCAGCATTGGAATCACCAGTAATTATCAATGCATCTTGATTGCATGTTTGATTAACTTCAGACTCCAGAAGTCGATAAAAATCTTCAATTTCTTAATCTTTGGCATCAGCAGATGGTGTATAAATTTGAGTAATAGTCACATTAACTGGTCTTCCCTGTAGGCAAATGGTATTATCCTATCACTGTCAGAGCTGTACAACAGGATAGATATTGAAATGTTCTTTTTGACAATGAATGTGATGTCGTTCCTCTTCAATTTGTCATTCCTGGCATAGCAGACCATATGACTGTCCAGTTCAAAATGGCCAACACCTGTCCATTTCAGCTCACTAATATCTAGGATATCGATTTTTCTGTGGTCCATTTCATTTTTGACTTCTAATTTTTCAAGATTCATACTTTGTACATTCCACGTTCCAATTATTAATGGACGTTTGCAGCTGTTTCTTCTCATTTTGAGTCATGCCACGTCAATGAACGAAGGTCCCGAAAGCCTGACTCCAACGTCATTAAGGTCAACTCTACTTTGAGAAGACAGCTCTTCCCTAGTTGTATTTTGTGTGACTTCCAATCTGAGGGGCTCATCTTCTGCCACTATGACAGAAAATGTTCTGCTGCTATTCATAAGATTTTCACTGACTAATTTTTTCAAAAGTACGCCATCAGGTTCTTCTTCCTGGTCTTTCTTAGACTGGAAGCTCTGCTGAAACCTGTCCATCATGGGTGACCCATTGGTATGTGAAATACTGGTGGCCTAGCTTCCAGCATCACAGCAACACACAAGATACCACAGTACAACAAACAGATGAGTAGTGGGAATAATATTTGCACAACTATTATCTGTCATAAAGTTTTCATTTTAAAATAATAGAATAATGTTTGTACAACTATTATTTTAAAATTAAAACTCTGTTACCTTTGGCTTTATGCCATGGAAATAAAAAATTATATATTGTAAGAAAATAAAATTTGAGATTAAATTCTTACCTGGTTGAAAAACTGATAGACTTCCATCAATATGACCAAACGCAATTTTCCCTTTTTTTTGGGTATGCCATCTAAATATACAGATATCAGACAGGAAGCTATGAGCTTCTTTGTGCACAGTCACTCCACTGTCTGGTCCTGAGATGGTCCAAATTAACAGTGGACCTCTGTGGGAAACAAATGCCACAGCATCTTCTGCATTCCAGCACCAGCTAAGAGAAGCAGGCATTCCTGGAATAAATCATAGATGCATCATAGAGAGATGTGGTATATGACTGTACTATTAAATATTATTTGCATTATACATTTCTAAAACTAAACTAAAATACAAGAATATGTTGGTTGTTCAAAAAAATAAGTTGCTTCCTCATTTGGGAATTGTATTTATAAAGCAATTTCAAAGACTAAAGTTAATATATGTAGGGTACTTCCATGATAAAAGGAAAAGTACCCTAGTTTGGTCCAAATACCACAGAGATGTTTTTATTTGATCATATACTTTCATACAGTCAAAGGAATTTACAAAGGTCTTACCTCAGTAGACTATATGCTATAACATATAACCAACACATACTTATTGCCCTGGTGGCGCAGTGGTTAAGAGTTCGGCTGCTAACCAAAAGGTCGGCAGTTCAAATCCACCAACTGCTCCTTGTAAACCCTATGGGGCAGTTCTACTCTGTCCTATAGGGTCTCTATGAGTGGGAATTGACTCGACAGCAATGGGTTTGGTTTTTTGGGTTGTGTATAAGGCCTGCTCTAGGCACTCAATTATACACAGTAATATAGGATAAAATTCCTGTTTTGAAGCACTTTAAATATAAATTGGGGAGATAAGGATTAAAGGCATGAAAAATTAGATGCTACCATAAAATTTTAATAACAAAAATTAATGTCACAATCTATGCCTTATCTGAGTTGAGATTAAAATCTTAGCTTTGCCTCAGATGGACTAAATAAGTCACCTTACCTCTTTAAATCGCCATTTCCTCACCTATAAAATGCAGACGACAATATAAATAGCTCATTTACCTACGTCACATGAACGTTAAGTAGAAGAAATATAATAATATATGTAAAAGAGCCTTTTAAATTAGAAGACAGAATGTAAAAGTTAATTGTTAATATTCCTATTATTGTGATCAAATAAATCATATATAAAATAAGTGTTATGGTAAATTTATGACTCAAAAGAGATTACTGAATATCCCAAACACTACCACCAAAAAAAAAAAAAAAAACAAAAACCCATCGTCTTTGAGTGATTAAAGAGTAGAACTGCCCCATAGCAGTGGCTGGTGGATTTGAACTGCTGACCTTTTGGTTAATAGTGATAGCGCTTAACCACTGTGCCACCAGGGCTCCAGTTAAGGCCCAGGAATCTATTTTCAACAAGCTTCTCCAAATGATTTTCATGTACAGAAGGGTTTGAATTTGACTTATACGTTAAATTGGGCGGTAGAATTTAAATATGTGGGATGAACAACATTTCCCAGAGAGAAGAAATGATATGAATAAAGACACACAGTTGGAAGCTTTTCACTGGCATTAAGTTCAGTATGTGCCACTAGTCTACAGGATCTACGAGGTAGAAACTGGAAGCTTTATGTCTAGCTCAGAGTCTGACAGATAATGGGAACCCCATAAATATTTATTGAATGAATGAATAAGAATACCTGAATAAGGCCAAAGAAAAAGCTGATGTGTGGTTTTTTGTATACATTCACAGAAGCAGAATTTCCCCAATAAGTAATAAGATACTGTGTATGAATCAAACCACCGCAGATTTGAAGTACACTAAAATGCTGTCTCTACAAATGCATACTTACAAAAAGGTAGCAAGGAAATTAAGGAACCCTATGATTATAAGTCATGTAATCATAATAGCAACCACTTCTACAATGGCTCATTATGTACTAGGCATTTCTTAGACCTCAACAAATGTTAACTCATATAATTCTCCTAGCAATATTCTAGAAAGTAGGTACTATTATTATCCTGTTATAGTTTTTTTTTCTTAAAAGGTCATTATTAAGTGTGACATTTTTCAAGTTAGTGACAATTTTAACAATTTATAATTATTGAAACTAATACTCATTTTCCTTTAAACGGATTGTTTGATTACCAGAAGAAAAAAGAATGATGAAGTGAAAAATACAGAGGAAAGTTCAAGTTCAACTGCTGGATGTGGAAGTTGAGATATTAGGAAAAAAGTTGGCTTAATGCAAACTTCTACTTAGGCTGAATTTCTAAGAAGAAAAAACAAAGTCTAAAACTTCAAAAGAAATTATTTTAAATGAAAATGGCCAAAAGTATGTATAATGATATTCTTTCAAATAACATATCAATGCTTTCAACTTTCAAATTAAAAAGACATTTGGAAACATAGCATGACAAACTTACTGATAAGCCCTTTGAATATTTTCAAAGAAAGAAAAAAATGTAAAATTTACTAAAATTATTACCACAATTTCTTACTCATTCTACAACTGTTAATAATAAAGCTTTATTTCACTGTATATCAAGTGGCAAAGTAAACTATGGGGCACAGATCTAATAAAAAAAAAATTCTCCCATCATGAATGATGTGATGCATATGGCTTGTGATATTAAATAAGCTGATAAATTCGATGAGAGAACAACATACACTCTGTAAACTATACTTTTGCATAAAAATTTTAAAAACATGTTTATTATGCAATTACAGATCTTGCATTATAACTTTAGGGAAGTACTAATATTGACATTTTTAGTTTATGTCAGAAAAAACTGTGGAAAGGATTTTAAGAAGAATGTGTTGTATTGTTTAAAATAAATCTCACACAAAGCTGGATTTAGAGAATTCAGAAAGTGCATTGCTGATCAATACAGACAATGCTTGCAAAAACCTGTAGGATTTGTAATTGATGGAACAACAGACGTGACCAGATAACATGGGGAGATAAAAAAATTCTTGATATAGGCTACTAATCATTGTTTATGTATCACAAAGCTTTGCAACAAAAGTAATTTGGCTTTTTCTCATTGACGGATAGAAAAATAAGGCAAATGTTAATTGCATCAATGGAAACTCACTGAATAGCTGGCTTTTAAATACTTTTCTCAGCAACTGGAACAAACTTCACTCACTGTCTCATACTGAAGTTCCTTAGTTTTTGCAGTGAAAATAATAAGCAGGGTATATAAATTTGGGGATGAGATTCACATTTTTCTAGCTGAAAAATTCATCTCATTTGGCAAATATTTTAAGATGTAGCTAAACAAATTGGTGTAGTTTACTGATATTTTTCAGTAGTCTTCATCTAAGTTTGAAACGACAGGGAAGATGCAATATACTCAGTTGTGATGAACATATTCTAAGGGTCCAAAGACATTATTATTATTTTGGAAGCAAAAAAGTTGCTTATACATTTCAGATATTGTTGCTACATACGGAAAAGAATGTTATTAAGAAAAATTAGAATAAAATTAAGTTAGTGAGATTATCACTTCTCAGTTTTCTATCTCAAATTTATAATCATTCATTTTTAGAGAAGAAAATTTAAAATATTAAAGATAAAATATTTGGAAAAACTATCCAGCAGTAACTTTCAAGTGGAGCCCTGGTGGCGCAGTGGTTAAGAATTCAGGCTGCTAACCAAAAGGTCAGCAGTTCGCATCTACCAGCTGCTCCTTGTAAATGCTATGGAGCAGTTCTACTGTGTCCTATAGGGTCGCTATGAGTCAGAATCAACTCGATGGCAATGGGTTTGGTTTTGGTTTTGTTGTTGCTCAAAGAAGAGACTGAATTATTGTGACATTTAACATGGAAAAATGATTATTAATCTTAACTTTATCATTGTTATCAACCAAACCAAACCATCACCATCGAGTCGACTGGATTAAATAAGAGTTTTGAATGCTACGTAGAAACTGCATAATGATATTATTAACATTCACAAAACTATTTGTACGAACTAGGACTTTCTACTTTGACCTAATTAAAAATAAAGGAAAGAAACCAGCTCAACAACGCAGAGCATTCACATAATATTGTCCCTGTATGTTTAAGGTTGTGATCAATAATAAACAGGCAAGGCCATTTGCTTCATTAAGAAAATCTTTTCTAATTATTGTTTTTTTATATTTATTTTGGAAATTTTATGTTATATTTAAATATGAATGAAATTCTATTTGACATTGACTGTTATTACCGTATCATTTGTAGTAAGTACGATTCTTTCATGAAATTTTGTTTTGGTGGTCATACACCCAAACACACATACACAATAAAGTCATGATGTGAAATGTTATTTCTTCATAAGTTACTGTTAGAAAGTTTGAAAACATTTCTATAAACCTTGAACTAGTAATATTAATAGTGCTTACTGAAATAAAAACATTTTGTTTGGCAAAATAAATCCCAGTAAATACGGTTACCTTTTGTACTGTTGAGTTTAGCAACGACTTTTTGTTCTGCAACATTCCAAATGATCATTAAGTTATCAGTACTGCCACTTGCAATCAAATCTGGGTTATGTGGACACCAAGAGATAGCTGTGATTGTTTTCTTATGTTCTGACATAATTGCATGAAGTTTAAATTCATTATAACGATGATCCAACTATAGCAAAATACATAAATAAAACATTTCAGTGCTTCTTTTCAGATAATACCGTATCATTAAAAATCACATTATAAAAACAAAAGCTACATACATGAAAGTTAGTACACCTCGTAAGAAAAATAAGAACACATTTCAAACCACGGTCTACTTTCAAGTGTATTCAAATGTATTCAACTGGCTGAAACAAACCATTTGAAAAAATAGAGAGAATTGAATAAAACATAAATTTTTAAAATAAGTAAATGTTTTAAACTTAACGATGCTTAATAATTCAGATTGTTAGTATATTTTCCATAGCCATATCTACTTATAAAGGTAGAAAAAAACTTGGTATTGGAATCATTTTTTCTGTAATTTAACAACAACAAAAAAAGGTTAAATGAACCAACTGCTCAATTTTTCATTATTAAGATCTCTAAAGTTTCCAGAGCAGTGGTGCCACGGATATGTTTTTGGATGGGGCATTATGCTGTATTTTTATACGTAAATAAGCAAAAGGAATAGCCTCATTTTTCCTATTTGTTTTGTAAATATGCCCTCATTAATTGGTGGAGAATATACAACAAAGTTAATAAATGAATCCATGAAAATCTTATCCTATTTTTTATTCTTTAAAAAGTAAATTATCTTCATGATCATTGTAGAAGGCTTCGAAACTCTCAGTTGAGGAAATCAATGTTAATATTCTGTTGTATTTCCTCTACCATTTAAACATATTTGGGATTATATTGTATCTGTCATTTTGTTGTGTCTGGGTGTTGTACCTTTAATATTTAATAAACCTTTCACAGTGTTACTGGAAAAAAATCTTAAATCATTATTATACTATTTATTACACCAACCTTTCTTTAACCATGTACTTGAGTGAAATCCTAACTCTTAGAATGGCCTTCAAGGCCCTACATGATCAAACCTCTTCTATGCTGCCAGTCTCATTTGGTATCATGCTCCACCTTGCTCACGTTGATATTCTTGTTTCTCTAATACAACAATCTAACTTACGCCTGCTGTTCCCTGGCCTCGAATGCTCTCCCCAAGGATTTACTCATGGCTACTCATTCTCCTGTTCAGGTCTCAGTTCAAAAGGACCTACTCAGAAAGGGATCTTCTGACTACTCTGTCTAAACTCATTTCCCTCCCTGTAACATATCCCATGACTTTCTATCTTATCTGTTTTTTATAGCCTTTGTAGAACACATTTCTTCCTGGAATGCTTACTGATTTGTGTATTCACTTATTTACTTTATGACCTCTCCTCCCATTCTAAGAATACAAGTTCCACAAAGAATGTGTTTGGTTTGCTCATATTTGTATTCCTATTGATGAAATATTGATGGAAGAATGAACCATTATGCTATTGTTTAGTATGCAGGCAACTTTAAATTTTTGCTATCACAAGCAATGCTGCAGTGAACATTTCTGTATATAAAATTTTGACTACAGGTCTAATTATTTCCTAAGGCTTTCTTTTCTCTAATTTCTGTGTCTCTTACTACTTGAACTTCACTATTCTTAGACAAATTTAGGTAAAAATATTGTTAAAGATAACCCAGGATGTACCAACAGAATTTTCATCTGATTAGCACTGCAGCTATAATAATTTTAAATTGATCTATTGTAATCTATAAATGAATTTGTAGTACATTTAGGAATGAATAGGTTTTTAAATTTTAAATTATTCAGCAATTTAAGTTACAATTATGCTAGTTATTGTGCATGTATAATGTATGCAATAGATAAAATGATATATAAATTACAAATTTAGTAGACAATTCCATAAATACAATTAATGTACTGAAAACCTGTGCTGCACACCAATTATCTCCAACTGCTTTACTATATAAATTATCCACTTAGCATCCGTAAGCACACTATAAGTAAGGTACTATCTATAGGGATTAATTTATTTATACATTCTTATTATATTTATAATTCACTATTATGAGTGTACTACTCTACTGAGTTGGATCATAAAGTACTTTTAAAGTAGTTCATACAATAAATTAGTGCAATACAATTGTATGGTTAAAAAAAACCTCCAATTGCACTGAAAAATATCATTCAATAGTGCAGAAAAATCTGATAATCCATCAGTGTCGTTATCCAGGATACATTATCAGACTTTGTACACTGATACTCGCTGCTATTTAATAAATATTTCCTCTGAAAATCATAATATCTTATATTTATTTCAAAGTATTTTCATTTAGATGATCACATTTAAAATATCAATATAAAAATAAAATATTAATATAATTTAAACTAATGTTAATCTCACCTGTAATAACATAATTTTCTACTGGCATACTTTGAAATGAAGTTTTACTGTGATCTTTGTATCAAAATGTCAACTAAGTTGGTGTGCCCTAAATTCCAAGTCTGAGTAATTTTTGGTTTGGTTTTTAGTCTTCAATGACATGCAAACTTTATCCCTAGGTTTTTTCATAATATAATTTTAGCCTAATCTTCCTAAATATTTATGTCATAAAATGTTATCATAAACTTTAAGACACACGCAAAAATTTTTAAAAATTAAGTTCTGGTGTCATCCACTCAGTTTTTTATCAGGCTCACTCCTTGGAGAAACAGTTTACCTGGCCTCATAAGTTCCTCTTCTTTAGGAGGAAATAGGACAAAAGACAAGAAGATCAAGAGCTAAGACTAGGTGAAAAATTTTAGTAGGAGGAATTTGGAATGAGAAGGTTGGGAGTTCAAGCAGAGTATTTAACAGAGCTTGATGGGTGATGAAAGGAGGCATTGAAAAGTACTCCTGCTGTCTATGTAGCTAACAAAACAATGTGAGTTATTTGGAGAGAGCATTTTCATTACTGGATGTTTCCATAATCTTGAGAAATGGATTATATAAAATTGTACTCTATACTGTGGAAACTTAATTGTTTCATGGACTGATGCTATTATTTCTTATATTTGCAATAAACAACAGTACTATTAGTAATAAACTAACATGCAGTACTGAAAAGGAATTTTTACTCCAGAATAAAACAGCTATGTTTAATCTTAACTGAAATAAGTTGGTATCTTAAGATTTTTTTTTTAATCATTCATTCAAGAAATATTCAATGAATATCTGTAAGTGCCAGGCAGTGTGCAAAAACTTGAGAATTGAAAGATGAGGAAGACTCATTTCTGGTAAATGGAAGCATGTAGAGAGGCAGTCAATTCTATGAGACCCTTTACTAATAAGGAAGGGAAAAGTAAGATACGGACAAAGTTTATACACTTGAGTTGAGATCTGAAAAATAGTTAGTGTTCTCTAGACAGGCAAGGAAGACAAAAATCCAGTGAAGCCGTGGCAAGATATGAGAGCGACTGAGATGTTTGGAAAGATGCGATGAGTTTGGTACGTCTGGGGCACACAGTGACAGGGAGGCAGGCGCGGATCACGAAAGACCTTGAATGTCATACGATGATATTCGGATGTTAACATTAGGGAATGAGGAGCAATTGAAGAGATTCTAATATAGCAGAGTAATACAACTGGGTTTGCATTACATGTGGTTGATTACACTGAAGGATAAATTAGAGGGAGTCAACCTAGAGGCAGAGAAACTATTTAGAGGCTATTACAACAGCTCAGGTGAAAAGCAATGAAGTCTGAATAAAGACAGAAGGAAAAACGACATAAAGAAGATAACAAAATATACAAAATACTAGAATCACTCTTGGTTACCTAGGGTATGGAATGGTAACTCCTGCATTTCTGGTTTGGATGAATGGCTAGCTGCTGATGTATTTCATTGAGACACTGATTCCAAGCTTACAGAGAAAGACTGGATTTCAATTTAAGTGCATATGGCACATCTCTCTGGAGATATTCAGTAGGGCATCAGTTCTATAAACTGGGAACTGTTAAGAAATGTCTAGATGGAGCTATCACATGAAAATAAAAAAGTAGAATACAAACGTTTTCCCACAAGAATATCTCAAAATATATCTATACTAATTTTAAATCACATAATAATCTCCAATTGACTACCTACATTCTTCAACTAATAAAATTTTCTCACATCACGTGTTGTTACTGAGCAGAGGTTTGAAATTAGCAATAAAATGGATTCCTTTTATTTATACGGGAGCCTAGTTAAAGAGAATTAAAACGTATTTGCTCACATTTCCCAAAATGGGTCTTTTTAAATCTTGAAATTCTTTTGATAACAGCTCATAAAAGATTATAAAATCAATTAAGATTTTGCTCGTAATTTAATAACACAAGCATTTTCTAAGTTCGAATTATGAAACCAATATAGAAAATGTAGCAATAAGATAAAAAATATAAATAGCAATAAAATTATAACATCATACTTCTTATGAGACAGAAATTTAACAACTGATGTTAATTAAATAATAATTTTACTTGACAAAATTAAAAATTGAAACAAATCAGTATAAACTTTACCTGATAAACATAGATGGCCAGGGTAGCACAATACGCAAACCTGTCTCCACTGGCAGCACAGACGTCTTTATTCCATGGCTGACATCCAGCAGGCAGCAGTCCCACTTGCCTTACATGGGACATGTTTGCCTTGAAAAATAAATTTGGAGAAATATCAGTGATTTTCATTATTTGATAAACTACCTATTCATTGTTTTACATCAGTCTTCTTTAATAGCTACAGACATCAGGCAGGTAATTTACATTAAGAAAACAAGAGACTATCAGGTGATAATGACCTACTGGCAGGGCTGGAAAGCCCACAGAAAGTGAGGGAAACTAGAGTGAAACAGAAACTGTATATTCTATTTAAAGAGCTCCAGTACCACTGGAAGGAGCCCTGGTGGCGCAGTGGTTAAAGCGCTTGGCTGTAAACCGAAAGGTCGGTGGTTTGAACCCACCAATGGCTTTGTGGGAGAAAGATGTGGCAGTCTGCTTCCGTAAGGATTTACAGCCTTGGAAACCCTATGGGGTAGTTCTACTCTGTTCTCACAAGCTCACTATGAGTCAGAATCAACTGAAAGCAATGGGTAGCACCACAGGAGAACTCAATCCATGTTGCCAGATTTATAGAACTTCCCAGAGAAACTAAAATACCCAGATTTTTATGTGAAATGCACAAATTTTTTAAAAAATGGCCAGGTTTTGCACATGCTGAGTTTGAGATGCTACTTAGCCTGCCAAACGGAGACAGTGATTGGAGAACCAGCTCTGGAATGTAGAGGAAAGGTCAGGACCGCAGAGCACACGTGGGTATCTCTGACACAGAACTTCATGGTTTTCACACTCTTATCCTCACAAATACTACTTGAAGCACACCAGGACGGTACACAAGCTGGGTTAACAACATTGTTCACTGTTAAGAGGACACAGAAGGAAGGTGGAAGCTACTTCACATCCGAATTAAAAACGGTAGATATGGCAGGAGAAAACATACGTGGGATAAACAACCCCAGGGAGGGAAACGATGTCAAGCAGCAGAAGCAGCCCAGGGCTGGGAGTGAGGAAACAGGGACAGAAACCAGTTATGCACCAAGAGTAAGGAGCCCTGTGCTGCAACAGCTAAGCACTCGGCTGTTAACCGAAAGGCTGGCAGTTCCAACCCACCCAGTGGCTCCACAGGAGAAAGAGCTGGTGATCTGCTCCCGTAAAGATTACAGCCTAGAAAACCCTATGGGGCAGTCCTACTCTGTCACATAGGGTCGCTGTGAGTCAGAACTGACTGGACAGCACCCAACAACAGCCGCCATGTGCCAAGTGTAGAGTGTAAACTGCAGTAATGCATTTAAATCGTAGGTTTCTGTCTTCTCATATCAAACATAAAGCCTCTGAACTAGATTTTCCCTGAGATTCTCTTGGCTCAAAGAATTCTATGAATCTATGTGTCAATTCTAAATTCAATTGTTCTAGGAGACTGCAGAAAAGAGCAAGGAGCAAGGCTATTTGTCCAGACTTTGATCATATTGAAAATCCACCATACAGGAAAATTGCACTAAGGCAAAAAACATATCAGTGCTGAGTATTATATTATATGGTTATCTAATGGACAATATTAAAAATAAATCATTGACAAAAAAAAAAAAAACCCTAAAACTTTTTAAAGGCAGAATCCAGACCATTATTAGCTATCTTTCCCAATATGGATTAAATATTGGTCTAAAAATAAAGACAGGAATTCTAATATAAGAGACAATCTTCCACCTATACCACAAAGTTATACATGCAAACATCGATTTTCTATTATTGTCAATTTCATATCTGTCTTTTAAATAAGAAAAAATGAAAATAGCAATTATAATCTTGAAATATTTTGTTTTGAAAAATTAAGTAGATAACTGGAAGATGTAATAAACTTGCTTTTGCATTGACTAATACGTTCTATTAAAAGTCAATATTTAGTTTATGTTACTCAAATGTTTATCATTATTTTAATAATATAATGTTAAAGCCTTAACATCACAATATATAAAATATCACAGACACGCAACATAAATACAGAAATATATACACGTACCTGATCTATGGCCAACTTAATACAAGTCCCAGGGGTGCTTGTTCAGCATATCCCCAGGAACCTTCCACGTCACTCTAGCTACTCTCTTCTCTTTCTACCCTGTTATCTAGCAGTTTAAAGCAATCTATCCAGGACCAGCGGTATCTGGTAGTGTCATGGAAAAATAACTCAGTACCTTTTATTATCTGCTTTTTTTCTTCTGTGTCAGTGTGGATCATGTACTGACCATAAACTCATTTTTATTATTTCTTTTAATACTTGCTGTTTCATAAATTCTAATCAGAATTCTATCTTTTTCCAGTGGAGCATTGTTGTTGTTGTTAGGTGCCATCCAGTCAGCTCCGACTCTAATGACCCTACGTACAACAGAACGAAACACTGCCTGGTCCTGTGCCATCCTCACAGTCACTGCAATGTTCGAGCCTACTGTTGGCAGCCACTACATCAACCCGTCTTGTTAAGGGTCTTCCTCATTTTCACTGACCCTGTACTTTACCATGCATGATGTCCTTCTCCAGGGACTGGTCCCTCCTGATAACATATCCAAACTAGGTGAGACGAAGTCTTATCATCCTCGCTTCTAAGGAGCATTCTGGCTGTATTTCTTCCAAGACAGATTTGTTTCGGCAGTCCGTGGTATATTCAATATTCTCCACCAACGCCATAATTCAAAGGCATCAATTTTTATTTGGTCTTCCTTATTCATTGCCCAGCTTTCACATGCGTATGAGGCAATAAAAAACACCATGGCTTGGGTCAGGCATACCTTAGTCTTTAAAGTGATGTCTTTGCTTCTTTATACTTTAAAGAGGTCTTTTGCAGCAGATTAATGCAATACATCCTTTGATTTCTTGACTGCTACATTGATTGTAGGTCCAAGTAAAATTAAATCCTCGACAACTTCAATCTTTTCTCCGTTTATGATGATGCTGCTTATTGGTCCAGTTGTGAGGATTTTTGTTTTCTTTATGTTGAGGTGTAATCCGTACTGAAGGCTGTGGTCTTGATCTTCATCAGTAAGTGCTTCAAGTCCTCTTCACTTTCAGCAAGCAAGGTTGTGTCATCTGCATAACATAAGTTGTTAATGAGTCTTCAATCCTGATGCCCCGTTCTTCTTCATACAGTCCACCTTCTCGTATTATTTGCTCACCACACAGATTGAATAAGTATGGTGAAAGGATACAACTCTGACGCACACCTTTCCTGACTTTAAACCACTCAATATTGCCTTGTTTTGTTTGAACAACTGCCTCTTGGTCTATGTACCGGTTCCTCATGAGCACAATCAAGTGCTCTGGAACTTCCATTCTTCGCAATGTTATCCATAATTTGTTATGATCCATGTGGTTGAATGCCTTTGCATAGACAATAAAACACAGGTAAACATCTTTCTGATATTCTCCGCTTTCAGCCAGGATCCATCTGACATCAGCAATGATATTCCTGGTTCCACATCCTCTTCTGAATTTGGCTTGAATTTCTGGCAGTTCCTTGTCAATGTACTGTTGCAAGTGCTTTTCAATGATTTTTCAGCAAAATTTTACTTGCGTGTGATATTAATGATATTGTTCAAAATTTCCGCATTTGGCTGGATAACCTTTCTTTGGAATGGGCATAAATATGTCTCTTCCAGTCAGTTGGCCAGGAAGCTGTCTTCCAAATTTCTTGGCATAGATGAGTGAATACTTCCACTGATGCTTCCATTTGTTGAAATATCTGAATTGATACTCCATCAGTTCCCGGAGCCAAGTTTTTCGCCAATGTCTTCAGTGCAGCTTGGACTTCTTCCTTCAGCACCATTGGTTCTTGATCATATGCTACCTCCTGAAATCACTGAAAGTCGGCTAATTCTTTTGGTATAGTTACTCTGTATTCCTTCCATCTTCTTTTGATGCTTCCTGTGTCGTTCAATATTTTGCCCATGGAATCCTACACCATTATAACTCGAGGCTTGAATTTTTCTTCAGTTCTTTCAACTATATAATGTAAAAAATTCTCAGTTTTTTTACTTTAACTATCAGTATATCATGAAGCCCTGTTGGTGTAGTGGTTAAGAGCTTGGCCGCTAACCAAAAAGTCAGCAGTTCAAATCCACCAGCCACTCCCTGGAAACCCTATGGGGTGGTTCTACTATATCCTACAGAGTTGCTATGAGCTGGAATTGACTCGAAGGCACTGGGTTTTTGTTTTGTCAATAGATCTTCATTATTTGTTTAGTTTCCAAAATTAGACAATATCAACATTCCTTTAATGACATACAATTTGGTATGTCCTTGTTCCTAAATAATCTTTCGAGTCTTAAATTCCAGAAACTTAAATTCTTTTAAAATTCAGAATGGAATAACTTGTCCAAGAGAGTGATTAAATAATAAATAGGACAAAACAAACGGGAACTTATTTTTAAAATCTACGATTTTGCATGAAATATAAAAAAATACATCATTAAATATATAAATAGCACTGCATTCATAAATCTGAATTATATATTTAAACAACTGCTAGTATTTGAAACTTCTGGATTATTTTTTGAAAAGCACTGGAAAATACATGCAATACTTTAGTAGCCTTTAGTAAGTAATATCTCCAGTTGCCAAGGAGATGAAAAGAAATGTCCAGAAGCTTTAATTATCTTTGTAGTCAGCATGCATGGTTATGCAATTAGTGACTCTGCATTACTGAAAAGAGAGAACATTCCACAGAAGATCTATTTCAAAACAGATATTTATATTTAAATGTAAATCCTACAAAATATAACATGTGGCATAGAACTGCATATTTCAGATAATATTATACATACTTCCATTATCCTTACTTTATAGTATGTTTCCTTTTTACATGTGCTACTAAAGTTATTTCCATGTCCATTCCAAAGATTTGTTGCTTCAGAAAATATAATCTTTTTGGCCCCACAGCAACACACATCGATGAAAGATGAAGTAGTGAGCCTTACAGTTCACTGAACAATGCAGATTCAAAAAGAATTCAAGCAGAAAGCCTGGTGACTACAGGACTTTAAGGGATATTATTTTCATGTTTTTAACCTCGATTCTATTTTGGTTTCAGTCTCATCCCTATGACAATATGAACACACACATACATACACACACACACACACACACACACACACACACACATTATAATTACACTAAGTTTACTGTTAGGTCCAATAGGGAATACATGGTAAAGAGGTTTTGCACAGAAAGTGAATGGAATGTAAAAAACACAACTGAGAAGAGCATATCTCCAAGAGATTTGCATGGGCAATGAAGCTCACTTTTGAATATGCAAGAGTATTAAGATAGGAAATAATCCTAATGAAGTTTAAAGCTAATATAGAGTTATAACACTGTCAAAAAACTATAGAACAAAGTCAAAACCAAGTCCCCGAATATTTATGTATAAGTATATGTATATGCCACAAGTACTAATTATATCAAAGTGAAAATGCCAATTCAGTGCTCAAAAGATCAAATTTACACCTGCAGGTTATTTTTCAAAAATGTCTACATTACTCATTTTAACTCATAAAATCCAATTTATCTCTTCCTGCTTTTTTTTTTAATTTTCAAATGAGTCTACTTAAAATTTTGCCATGCTAAATGCTAATTATATAGGGTACATGGGCACATAAAAAAATCCTGAAGAATAAAAAGCTGTATTTCTGGGAGAAATTAAAATCAATATTCATGTGCCAATTTTATTTATTTAAAATAGGCTCTTTCACTCTGATCTAAGTCTGTATAATAACTCATAAAAATAGGCTGTAAAAAGGAACCCAAGCTCATAAAGATGATACGGTAATTATAGGGTTGGACTATTTCTATATGTAAGAACAGTTACACTTTTAATACGTCTCAGAATCAGGAATTCACTTATAAAAGGCAGTAGTAGTGTTAAAGGGTAGCTTGGGTTCAAGGTGAAGGGAAAGCTTTTGAATCCCCATAATCTCCATGAGCTGCCCTAATGCCACCTTAAAGAAACATACAATTATGGTAAAAAGCATTCTTGTGAAAATCAGTCTCCATACTCCCTACCAATCATGTAATCATTCCTAACCTCTCGCATAGAGAAATATATGGGCTGCACTTGAGAGAAAAAAAAAAGCCTTCTATTTCAAAACATCAGAAACGCACTGATTATTAGGTTTAAAATGTACACACATAATACAAAGGGGGCTGGTATTGTAGTGTGTGTGTGTGTGTGTGTGTGTGTGTTTTCAGTGAGGCTTGGAGTGCTACTATTAAAATCATATGCTGAACTATTTCCATCCTTTACAAATAAGGTTGAGATTCAAGATAGAAAGCTGGCCACTATTTCCCGCTTGTTTTCTGAAGAACGCCTTAGGATTCACAATATGATTATTATCCAGACTTCTAGAAATGTTTACTAACTTGTTTCACAGTTTAAAAAACATGTATCTGGGGAAAAAAAAAAAAAACCCAAGTGGTTTTAAACAGCTGAGGATTTAAGGCAGTAAAATACTAAGAAAATATCTTTGATTGGTGTGATGAGCATGGGAACCTAAAGAAGTAGGAAGGAGGAGAAACCAGTGCTGCTTGTCTTTACGAGCATATGCCCTTGAACAACAATGGGAAAAAAATCTGGGGAATATTTTCTGGCTCTTGTGTTCCAATCATTAATGAGAAGAAAAATCGACAATTTGCCTTCATTTAAATAATTAAGAAATCTTCCATTACAAAGCTGAAAACAAGAGAAATCATACTGTTCTAAACTAAACCCATTTGATAAGGTGTATTTTTCAATAGCACTTTTTCTACTATTGCAATAACAGATCAGAATAGCTATTTTCAAAGTACTGTGCACAAGTTGCCATAGTAACAATGCAAATTCTTTTGAAACATAATCAGTAGGCTAAAAATTTATGAGATGTAGCTTGGCACTCCTCTTCAGGCATTTTTGGTATCTTCTTTTACAATATTATTACAATACATATTATTATTATACACTTAACTTGTTTCATTACATGTTTTTCTTTAGTTGCAACGACTATCGTGAAATTGCTGATATTTTCAGGTATCAATCTCATTTTATAAAATGCTATTTTATATTTAAAGCCTAAAGACGACATGTAAGCATTACTAAGAATTTGCCCGGAATAAGGGAAGAAAAAAATGCCTTTTCTTCAACATATAATTTGAACTACCTTTACATATTATGAGGACATATATAAGAAATGTACTTTGCTTTGAAACTTATTAAATAAGTGTCTTTTCACCCTCAGAATTCTGCAATGCAAGAACATCCACTATATAAATGACACAGAGGTACAGCCACATGAGAAACATAACAGAAAATAAATCACAGAAAAGCATAATGACAACATAAATATATCTTACTCTTTGTAGTCCTTCATACCAATCATCTTGGTCAAACCAATGTGAAATGTAAGTCATCCAAGCCATAGAATGTTTCTACTTTAATCAAGGCAATTGGAAATTCAGCATCAGAACAGTCAGCACCTAAAGTAACAACAACGTGTTTCAACTAAACAAGGTTTACCAAAATCTGCTTTATGAAATGTTTAGTTTAAGAAGCTGGATCTGCATAAATATTTCAATGAAAACAGATTAATAATTTTCAAATAACAGAATCTGTTAAAAGAATGCTAAATTAGAAAATGTAAGCCTATATTCAAACAAGAAAAAAAATCAAATAATAATCACGTTGTTTTATAATACTTGAGAATGTTATATCAAATATTTTATCAGGCTTACAACTTAAGTCCTAAAAAAAAGCTTAGATTTTACTTTTGTAACAAATAGGCAAATACATTTTTAAAGTTAACAAGTTAAAAATAATGAATCTAAAAAAATCAGGAAGCAGAAAATTAGTTCCATTTTCAACCTCAGGAGTTGGACATAAAACAAGAAGAAAACTAGCTTAAAAGATCTACAATGACAAGGTCAATCCTAGATTTATATATGGCACAACTAAATATTTGAGAGTTAAATCATTTTAAAATTAGCTGATTGCCTACTACCTAATTGTCTCAAAAGTGTAAAGACGCTGCATCACTTAATACAGAGCTAATACGTTGGACAGAGAATCAAAACCACGTGAATTAGGTTTCATTTTATTTGTACTCGCTTCCTAAAAAACATGTATTTAATAGCCACAGTTAATAAAAGATTTCTTGGTACACTGGAGAATATTTGGACTTCAAAATACTCGCCATAAAGTATAGCTGCTTCACCACTTGACATAAAGCAAGTTCCAAGTGAAATTTTCCTGAAAAAATTCAACCCTGATGGCACAGTGGTTAAAAGCCATGGCTGCTAACCAAAAGGTCAGCAGTTCGAATCCACCAGGCACTCCCTGGAAACTCTATAGGGCAGTTCTACTCTGTCCTATAGGGTCGCTATGTGTCAGAATCAACTCGACGGCAACAGGTTTATATGTGTCTCTCTCTCTCTCTCTCTCTCTCTCTATGTATATACCCTCCACTCATCTGTCAGTTTGTCGTACTGTGGGGGCCTGCATGTTGCTGTGATGCTGGAAGCTATACCACCAGTATTCAGATACCAGAAGGGTCTCCCATGGTGGACAGGTTTCAGCTGAGCTTTCAGACTAAGACAGACTAGGAAGAAGGACCGCCGCGTGGTCTACTTCTGAAAAGAATTAGCCAGTGAAAACCTTATGAATAGCCGTGGAACACTGTCTGATATACTGTTGGAAGATGAGCCCCCCAGGTTGGAAGGCACTCAAAATACGATTGGGAAAGAGCTGCCTCTTCAAAGCAGAGTCGACCTTAATGACGTGAATGGAGTCAAGCTTTCAGGACCTTCATTTGCTGATGTGGCATGGCTCAAAATGAGAAGAAACAACTGCAAACATGCATTAATAATCGGAAAGTGGAATGTACAAAGTATGAATCTAGGAAAATTGGAAATCATAAAAAATGAAATGGGATGCATAAACTTCGATATCCTAGGCATCACTGAGCTGAAATGGACTGGTATTGGCCACTCTGAATGAGACAAGTTGAAGAGGAATGGCACTGCATTTATTGTCAAAAAGAACATTCCAAGATCTATCCTGAAGTACAAAACTGTCAGTGATAGGATAATATCCATATGCCTACAAGGAAGATCAGTTAATACAACTGTCTTAGTCATCTAGTGCTGCTCGAACAGAAATACCACAAGTGGATGGCTTTACAAAGAGAAGTTTATTCTCTCACAGTCCAGTAGTTTAGAAGTCCAAATTCAGGGCATCAGCTCCAGGGGAACGCTTTCTCTGTCGGCCCTGGAGAAAAGTCCATGTCATCAGTCTTCCTTTGGTCTGGGAGCTTCTCTGTACAGGAACCTCAGGTCCAAAGGATGCGTTCTGCTCCCAGCACTGCTTTCTTGGTGGTATGAGGTTCCCATGTGTCTCTGCTCGCTTCTCTCTTTTATATCTCAAAAGAGATCGCATTAAGACACTATCTAATCTTGTCAACCTCATCAGTATAACCTCATCACAGTGATAGAATTTACAACACATAAGGAGATCACATATAATCTCATCATAGTGATAGAATTTACAACACATAAGGAAATCACATCAGATTACACAATCATACAATACTGGGAATCATGACCTAGCCAAGTTGCTACACACATTTTTTGGGGGACACAAGTCAATCCATGACAACGACTATTATTCAAATTTATGCACCAATCACTTACGCCAAAGATGAAAAAATTGAAGATTTTTACCAACTTCTTCAGTCTGAAATTGATCGAACATGCAATCAGGATGCATTGATAATTTCTGGTGACTGGAATGAGAAAGTTGGAAACCAAGAAGAAGGATCAGTAGTTGGAAAATATGGCCTTGGTGACAGAATTTTGTAAGACCAACAACTTCTTCATTGCAAATACCTTTTTTCACCAACATAAATGGCAACTATACCCGTGGACCTCTCCAGATGGAATACACAGGAATCAAATCGACTACCTCTGTGGAAAGAGATGATGGAAAAGCTCAACATCACTCAGAACAAGACCAGGGGCTGACTGTGGAACAGCCCATCAACAGCTCATATGCAAGTTCATGTTGAAACTGAAGAAAATTGGAAGTCCATGAGAGCCAAAGTATGACCTGGAGTATAACCCACTTGAATTTAGAGACCATCTCAAGAACAGATTTGATGCAATGAACACTGATGACCAAAGACCAGAAGAGTTGTGGAACGACATCAAGGACATTATACACGAAGAAAGCAAGAAGTCATTAAAAAGACAGGAAAGAAAGAAAAGACCAAAATGGATGCGAGAAGAGACTCTAAAACTTGCTCTTGAACGTCGACTAGCTAAAGCAAACAGAAGAAATGATGAAATAAAAGAGCTGAACATAAGATTTCAAAGGGCAGCTCAAAAAGACCAAGTACAGTATTATAAAGACATGTGCAAAGACCTGGGGATAGAAAATCACAAGGGAAGAACATGCTTGGCGTTTCTCAAGCTGAAAGAACTGAAGAAAAAATTCAAGCCTCAAGTTGCAATACTGAAGGATTCTACAGGGAAAATATTAAACAATGCAGGATGCATCAAAAGAAGATGGAAAGAATACACAGAGTCACTATACCAAAAAGAACTGGTCGACATTCAACCATTTCAGGAGGCAGCATATGATCAGGAACCCATGGTACTGAAGGAAGAAGTCCAAGCTGCACTGAAGGCACTGGCAAAAAACAAGGCTCCAGGAATTGATGGAATACCAATTCAGATGTTTCAACAAATTGATGCAGCCCTGGAAGTGCTCACTTGTCTACGCCAAGAAATGTGGAAGACAGCTACCCGGCCAACCAACTGAAGAGACCCATATTTATGCCCATTCCAAAGAAAGATTATCCAATCGAATGCAGAAATTATGAAACAATACCATTAATACCACACGCAAGTAAAATTTTGCTGAAGTTCACTCAAAAGTGGCTGCAGCAGTATATTAACAGGGAAACGCCAGAAATTCAAGCTAGATTCAGAAGAGGATGTGGAACCAGGGATATCAATGCTGATGTAAGATGGATCCTGGTCAAAAGCAGAGAATACCAAAAAGATGTTAACCTGTGTTTTACTGACTATGTAAAGGCATTTGATTGTGTGTATTATAACAAATTAAGGATAACATTGCGAAGAATGGGAATTCCAGAACACTATGTACAGGCTCCTCATGAAGAACCTCTACATTGATCAAGAGGCACTCATTTGAACAGAACAAGGGGATACTGCATTGTTTAAAGTCAGGAAAGGTGTGCATCAGGGTTGTATCCTTTCACCATACTTATTCAATCTCTATGCTGAACGAATAATCCCAGAAGCTGGACTATATGAAGAAGAATGCAGCATCAGAATTGGAGGAAGAATCATTAATAACCTGCCATATGCAGACGACACAACCCTGCTTGCTGAAAGTGAAGAGGACTTGAAGCACTTACTGATGAAGACCATAAATTACAGCTTTCAGTATGGATTATGCCTCAATAAAAGGAAAACAAAAACCCTCACAACTGGACCAATAAGCAACATTATGATAAACAGAGCAAAGACTGAAATTGTCAAGGATTTCATTTTACTTGGATTCACAATCAATACCCACAGAAGCAGCAGTCAAGAAATCAAAAGATGCACTGCATTGGGCAAATCTACTAAAAAAGACCTCTATACAGTGTTAAAAAGCAAAGAGGTCACCTTGAAGACTAATGTGGGCCTGACGCAAGCCATGATGTTTTCAATCACCTCACATGTATGGGAAAGCTGCACAATGAATAAGGAAGACCAGAGAAGAATTGATGCCTTTGAATTGTGGTGTTGGTGAAGAACACCGACTATACCATGGACTGTCAAAAGAAGGAACAAATCTGTCTCAGAGGAAGTACAACCAGAATGCTCCTTAGAAGCAAGGATGATGATACTACATCTCACAGACTTTGGACATGTTATCAGGAGGGATCAGTCCCTGGAGAAGGAAATCATGCTTGGTAAAGTTGAGGGTCAGTGAAAAAGAGGAAGACCCTCAATGAGATGGACTGACAAAGTGACTGCAACAATGGGGTCAAGCATAGCAACGACTGGAATGATGGCACAGGACTGGGCAATGTTTCATTCTGTTGTACACAGGGTCGCTATGAGTCAGAACCCACTCGACGGCACCTAATAACAACAACAATATATGTCTACATGTCTATGTGTCTGTATGTCTATCTTATCTCTCTCTCTCTCTCGCTCTCTCTCTCTCTCTCTATATATATATATAGGTAGCAGGTTGGGAACAGCCTTATCTATATTAGAATTCCTTATTCTCTAGAAGTATTTTCAATACTGTAATCTCTGCTTGAAGTCTCAGGCCAAAATGCTTGGGAACAGACTCTTGTACAGAAAGCTCTCGGAGTGGCATAACCTTTTGCTTAATTTATTTACGT